TTTAAAGATATTTAAAGAAATCGTGAGCATCAATCTTTCGGAAAACTTCAGGAAAATGAAGAGCTCTAAAGGGCTACTCTATGAACATATTGGAAAATTGCGGAAACTCTAGAGGAATTCTACACAAATAAAATTTAGATAACTTCATGAAAACTTCGAAAACTTCTCTCTGCATATTCCTCCTTTGTACTCTATATGCCAACTAACTAGGGTTAATAACCCCATTTCCGGCCTATTAAGCACAACCCGCACTTAAGCTGGGTTTAGACTAGGCAATTCAGTTGAATTCAACTGACTTGATCAACTGACTTCCCCTGTCTAAACCTAGCTTTAGTATTTCTTAAGGGGGTAGTACACTTTGAACGTCCAAAAAGTAAGGCATTTTCGTTAATTTTTTTAAGCAATAAAACACTCAGGGAGGGCAAATATGTTATAACCAGGCTTCCAGTGCGCGCGCTACCGTATGCGAGACGCAATATGAATAGTCTCATGGTCATAGCAGTCTCATGCGCAAGAGATTTGTAGCACTCTGTTTCTCTCTCTTCAGTTTTGTCGCATCTCACATTCTTATAATGTCAGTGTGTTGCACTGTTTTGTAAGCACAGCACATTTCCGGATGTATGCGTTTCATGAGAACGAGTATCATGCGACGTCGCGTGAGCCGAAGCTCATGCGCTTTTCGCAATGAGACGTCGCTAAGCGACGTTTCAATGCGACATCGAAATAACAAACTCAACTGGAAGACCAACTCGTGTTCTTGATGTGGGAAAAGTGTTGTTTTGTTTTGAAAACGATGGAAAGCGACCTAGCTACTACACTCTTATGGAGAAGAGGTGTCGGATGGTTATGACCAACAAAGTTTTCCTAGCGGAAATTTTCGTTGATTAAAGGATTAACTTGAAAAATAGCCCATTCATAACGAACGAAGTAAGAGATGTGGCTTTGGTAAGCGAAATGTACAATCAAGTTGTGGTTTATTTGCTCGTTAATACATATGCTTTTTTTAATTTCACCGAGGGTCCACGGTACTAACACTAGGACTATTTAGAAATCTGTCGTCGCAAATTGATTGTTTCAATTCAGCATCATGGTGGCTGATATGAACTATCCTGTGAGCACTAACACATCTGAAGAATTCAGTTGCTGCCGTAGTAAGTTTGTTGATTGACAGGTATTCAATACAATTCCTGAAGCAAGAAGCTTAGCAACAATCCGTAATACAGATATGACACTACTTTTTCCTAAATTTATTACATTAACCTTAATCCAGCATTTCGTACCTACGTACACTGAGGGGCTAAGTTGATCGGACAAAGGTCGTTTTCATACAAACTAGCCAAGTTTAACATGTTGTAAATGTGTTCTGTTATGATCAATTGAGCTGAAATTTTGACGCAAAACTACAAATATTTTGAGCTTCACGGGTAAGAAATACCAAATTTTTTAAAGCACCTGCTGGAAGGTGACAATAAAATTAAAATTTGTGCATAGCTGATCGGACAAAGGTCAATGGAAAAGCAAGTTTTGAGTCAAAATTTCAACTCAATTGATCATAACAGAACAAATTTACAACATGTTAAACTTGGTTAATTTTTAAGTGTAGAGTTGTGTGTATGTAATAAGAAGTCACCACCAACGTTTTTGCAGCAAAGTACACTTCTGCGTTGAAAATAATCCCTTAAAATAGTGTTCACTCAAGCAAGACAAAATACAAATATTAATCTTCAGAGTTCTATTATTACTAGCGTGTTGATATGATCGGTCATGTCAGACCGAACTGTGACATTTTTTTTTTTTTTGATTTCGAGAAAAACGAATTTAAAGTTGGCTGTTCAATATTGTGTCTTATGTAATGGGACAAATCATTTGACCGTTTTCTCTTACTACTCTAATTTTTCAAATCTGGCTGAAAAAGTGAAATATAGCTGAGGGAATTCTTGATCTTATGATATCATTAACTCATTTTTTGTTTTTATTTTCCTACTTAGTCGCTTCTGACTTAACGCCGACTACATGCTCTTGTATAGTAAAATGTAGTGCTATTTTACATTCAAAATCGTCCTTTTTATATTTTTACTGGTCTGAGCAAAATTATTCTGAGGGATTCTGAGTCTAATTTGGTGCAAATGCGCAATAACTTGTTTATTTTTCCACCAAATGGGCTGAAAGCTTCAGAGGCTTCCAAAAAATGTATTTTAGAAGATTTCCGCATAAGGACTTGTTGGAGGACACATAGTTCCACAGATATTCCGGTATTATTTGGGGTGCTAACATGCTAACGGTATCCCAACCAGGCATGGGAAATCATTTTCATTAATTTCGTGCATTCATTTACATTCATTTGCCTCTAACTTTTTTCATTAACAGAATTCCGTAAAATAGTGTTTGAAGCTTTTCAAAATTTTGATATTAGCTACATCTTTTGTAAATGACTCAAATCGGTATCTCTTATGCATGATGAATCAGAGCGATAACAACCCACCATTGTTTTTCAGTGAATGTAAATTGCATTCACTGAAAAACAATAACATGTGCTGCCAGCTCTAGTTCGTCATGAATAAGAGATTCAGATTTTAATTATTTGCAAAAGTTGTAGTTAATATCAAAAGCCACAAAAGCTTCATACATCATTTTACGGTATTCTGCTGATGGAAAAAGTTACAGACAAATGAATGTAAATGAATGCACGAAATGAATGTAAACGATTTTCCATCCCTGATCCCAACTACCGTAAGGTTGCCATCCACCGCTCACGTAGTCTTCCTTTACCTTCCTTTAGCATCCTTTCGACAAGCAATTGCGTCTTCCTAGGATCATGAGTGGTGATCTTACGGTGATTCCAGTATAACTCTGGAACCATGTGTTGAGTCTGCTTGCATCTATACTAGAAGATATTTCTGGAACCATTTAAAAACTTCACCCCATTTGAAAAGGGCACACAAGTCTTCTGTGACAAACCCTTGCAGTCCCTTCTCTCGTCACCCGACAACATCACATATGATGGGACCGCGAGAGTCAAGGCATGCGAAACAGCGCACGGCGATGGCGCCCTGAGATCCTGATTAGTAATGAAACTTGGGTTCGAAATACGTATTCCGATTTTTTTTTTAAATTAATTTTTTCAAAAGTTGTGGCCTTAGGAAAAAACAGTCCATTTTTTCACCCTAAAAATGCTTACAAAATCGTGGATTAAAAATCCATTTTTGACAAAATCGAAAATGTGGATACGTATTTCTAAGCAGAATTTAATTCGGAACAAGAAAACCTAGGCGATATCCAAATTTGATGATAACTGGTTAGAGTTATTTCCCACGCCAGTTTGAAAAACCCCGTTTCGAGATAAACGCGTTTAAAGATAAAATTGCTCTCTCAGCGCGCCGGTACATGTTTTAGGAAATCGTTTCGTAAAGCGGTAAGGAATATTCTGGCGGATTTGGAGTCTTTTCTAAATTAAAGTATACATCCCAAGGAACATTTTAAGCCATTTGTTGAAAAATCAAAGTGTACACCCCCCTTAATCTATCGTAGTTTAGCACCAAACAAAATGTTATTATTACTGATAGCTTCCATATTTATTTACCTTTCCGTATGAACCGTAAGATTTGATAAGGAGAAACAAATTGTTGAAATATTGTTAAAAGTCTAACACTGCCTCTTGACGCCAAACTCGGCTTACGGATTCTTAACTCGGCGTAACGCATTGAAACGCCATTGAAACGTCAATGAATTCACTTCGGATGAAGATAAAGATCGATTCGGTTGGAGCGCTTCATTTGTATTTGAGAATATCGGGTGCAAACATTCATTCTTATTGATTTAGTTCGGTAGGATTTTAACTAAATATCGTACCAAACGCATAATTTACGAGTTAACGCCAAAATCATGGATTTATTTGATGTTTTCTGCTTGATGATGCATGATAGTGGTTTACCACCCATTGTAGCACGGAAACTAAGTCCGACAGCAGTGGGCTCTCTTCTCTGTTTGTCTTGATCAAGCTTAATAACCTCTGATTGTCCTAAACATGTCGCTGTATGAAGGGCCAAAAACGGATTGAGTAGATCGATAGGCAAAGTCGCCTATACGCATCTACGGAACAAGAGAATCTCCTTCCAGCAAGTTGATCAGCCAATTGGTCAAAAAGACAAGCCCCCAAACAGGAAGATGCCCCAATGAGTGGGGAGAAGAGCCCACCCTGTATCCACGAAATGTTATCAACAGGAAGTTGGCATTTCCACTCTCCCCTCGCTTCACTTGCCTCACTTCAATCGGGTGCACTGTTGGACCGTCCCTGCCCATTTATTTATGTATTTCAATGTAAATACGAGTTGATTGTAATGATTATTGTCAATAATACTTACATTTCGATGAAAATCGTGATACTTATCATTACAGAAACCAATTTTGAATCGTAGACCATGTCGTTCAACAATTCACTCGTTCCGAGACGGGGCTCTGTGATAAAGCCATCTTCTTCATCATGTTCGCTCGGCACCCGGAATGCATGCAAATGAAAAAGAGATGCAAGTTTTCTGCTTGATAGGCCCAAAATGGGCCCTTAGGCCGAATTAATTCTCTACCCTATCTTATTTCTGAATTCTTATGTTATTTGTCACGTGAGTGTTTTGGTTGATACAAAAATTTGCCTCCTCCCCTCCCAAACAACTTCGCGGGTTTTATCGAGGTTTTATAGCATTCTACAAGTCCAAATCATGATCAACAGAGCCCTTATAAAACCAGAAACGTTACTAGGGCGGGGTAAATTCAGAGGACATGACAAACTATGAAGGACATGTTAAGGCATACATCAATCGATTTCTATAGCAGCACGTCCTGTTCGAATCATCCACCAGTCAATTCCTAAAGACATCCGCAGCAGTCATTGTCCTCCAAGCGAAAATCGCTCAAATTGCTCTTCAGATCCTATCCGAGAACTACCCTTTCCAACGAAACTTTTAATTTACTCAAAAGTGCATTTTCCCCCGTCTACCCCCCATCAGGTTCACCCACCTCCAGCACGCCCCGTACATGTACATCATCGAGATCGAGAATGCGTCGGACGCACAGCGGATGGGATTCGTGCGAATCTTCATGGCACCGAAGAACGACGAACGTGGCCAACCAATGCTATTCCGGGATCAGCGGCTGTTCATGATCGAGATGGACAAATTCCTGGTGGCACGTAAGTTCTAACGATTGATTTCTCCATTCCAACTTCCTAAACTACCCTTTCTCTTCCCCCGCAGTTCGTCCAGGATCGAACCGCATCCGGCGTCGTTCGAACGAATCCACCGTTACCATCCCGTTCGAGAGGACCTTCCGCAACCTGGACACTAACCGCCCGGAGACGGCAACTCCCGAGGAGGAAGCCTTCAACTTTTGCGGTTGTGGTTGGCCGGCGCATATGCTCGTTCCGAAGGGACTGCCGGAAGGCTTCCCGGCCGATCTCTTCATAATGGTGTCTGACTACGAGGAAGATCGTGTCGTTCAGGATCTGGTTGGCACCTGTAACGATGCCGCCTCGTACTGCGGGGTGCGCGATCGGCTCTATCCGGACAAGAAGGCGATGGGCTATCCGTTCGATCGGCTGGCCCGCACCGGAGTGGACCGGTTGGCCAACTTTGTCACGCCGAACATGGGCATCCAGTCGGTCAATGTGATCCACATCGATAAGACCGTGCCGAGGACCTAGAGGGGAAGCGGTGAACCATTTGGTCGTAAATCGGGGACACGATATTGGATGTTAGATTTTAAATTAATAAATGCTTATGCTCATGATAAGCGGTGATACTGAATGTGGAAAGAAACGCATGCTTCGACCCGGGTTAGTTCAATCATTTGACGGACATAAATGCTCTTGGCAATCGGAAAATCCTCATTTCCAAGCTCCAATCGCACCAAAACCTCAACAAGCGCCATTTTCCGTCATTAGTATCAAAACCCACAATTCATTAAAGCAAAGTGGCAAAGGCGCTATACATTAATTTTCGCACCGTCATCACTCCGTATTTTCACATGCATTTTGCATTTTGCCACAACTAATTCGCAAAAGTCGGACGCACACTGGGGTGCATCACGTAATTGAAGCCTCCGAAATGTTTAATCCTCCGATCGGCCTTTTCAACTAATATTATTATAATTCAACGATACGTTGAGTCAACAAACATTCCATTCTCAGTATTGGCATCACCGGTGAAGATAATTGGCAAGGCTTCTATCACGAGCGAAGCAAATAATGCCATTAATGTTAAAGGCTGACGGCGAGCCAATGCAAATGAGCTTATCATTTGACGCATTCATTGTTTGTTATGCATTTGCTGCAGTTAAAGAAGCGCTGGAAATAAACTTGGAAATTTCCAGATTTCGAGTACCGATAAGGGTGCTTCAAAATATCGATTTTGTGCAACTAGGCTCAATTTATTTTATATCAGGTTCTGATTATTCTCCCAAAATTTGAGTTCATTGCAAATGCAAACTCATACTGCATTGGCCCTTTGAAGTTTATAATTTTTATGAGAAAAGTGAACTTCATGTTTAAAAGTCCTAGCACTTCGCCATAATAATTTACGGAAAAGCTGCTCATATATGAATTTTTATCAGCTACAACTTTGATGAAGACAGGTTTCTGAAGGGATGAGCGAGAGTAGTGAGTGATCGAGCTGTGCTGGTGGTTCTTGTGAAGATTTTATCTATTTTTCAACTCGACACAGTTTTTTGGACTGTAAGCTGCTTTATCAATTACCACTGAAGATCAACATATGGAATTCTACGCTCTGGATTAGCCACAACACCACCTTTAAACGATCAATTTTTGGCGAAATTTGTGATTGGATTCTATCGACCGGTAGCCATTGCTGTTATTCGTTTCTCGGGTTTGGTTCATCCGTCGTTCGTGTTCGTATAGTTGGAACTCACAACGTGTTCATCTAGCCTTTCTGTTAATCACGTCAGCAAAACAAACCAATTTTATTATGGTGAAAGGCAAAACAAACTCTTCCCTTCCCCTGGGGAAAGGCAATGACGGAAATGTGCACAAACGATCGCGAGAGGACCTGGACAAAACTGAAGATCAAGTAGAAAACTTTAATGATCTTCTAGCCCGTATGCAGGACATGTTCGAGAACACCAACGCGAAAATTGATTCGTGCAAGAAGGATCTGCAAGTGGAAATTTCGATGCTACGTGAAGATGTTCAGCTATTCAAGTCGGAGTGCACCAGTGAAATCAACAGGCTCTCTTCATCAGTTACCAAAATGCGCGCTGATGTCCGGCAGAACTACGACCGAATCCGAGCTGTTGAAAAGTGTAACGATCTGCTGCTAGCTGGTATTCCATACGCTGCAAACGAGGACGTGAATGAGATCTCAAGAAGGATTGCGGTCGCTCTTGGATATGGTGAACAAAACATGCCATTGATCTACGCTAAACGTTTGGCCAGAGGACAAATCGTTATCGGTACTACTCCTCCAGTAGCACTGCAATTTGCTTTCAAGCTGGCTCGAGATGACTTTTTTCGTCGGTATTTCTCTGTGCGCAACCTATCATTGATTCAAGTTGGGTTCAAAGCTGATAGACGAATCTACCTCAATGAAAATCTACCAGAAGAAGCTCGGAAAATCAAGGGTAAAGCTATCAGTCTGCGACGTTCGGGAAAATTGCATGCCGTATTTACCAAGGATGGATGTGTATTCGTCAAGCCTGCGGTGGATGCTGAGGCAGTTTTGGTACGTTCATTGGAGGATCTGTCCGAACTATCCTAAAAGTTATACCTTTCCTTCAAAGCTTTTGTTACTTACCTTACCAATCAGGCTAAGGCCTTGTTGTCCTCTGCTGTCCGAAGAAGTCGTCTCCACTCTACTCGATCCATGGCCACAGTTCGCCAGCCTCGTAGTCTGCGAAGGGTCCGCAGGTCACCTTCTACTTGGTCGATCCACCTTGCCCGCTGCGCGCCTCTTCTTCTTGTTCCTGTTGAGTCGCTTTCTAGAACCATTTTCACTGGGTAGTCGTGCGGCATTCTTACGACGTGCCCAGCCCACCGTAGTCGCCCAATTTTTGCAATGTGGACGATGGATGGTTCTCCCAGCAGCTGGTGCAATTCGTGGTTCATTCGCCTCCTCCACGTTCCGTCATCCATCTGCACTCCACCGTAGATGGTACGCAACACCTTCCGTTCGAAAACACCAAGGGCGCGTTGGTCCTCCACGAGCATAGTCCAGGTCTCGTGGCCGTAAAGGACCACCGGTCTAATCAGCGTCTTGTAGACAGTCAACTTCGTGCGGCGGCGAATTTTATTCGACCGGAGCGTCCTCCGGAGTCCAAAGTAGGCACGATTCCCTGCCATAATGCGTCTTTGAATTTCTCTGCTGGTATCATTTTCGGCGGTCACCAGTGAGCCCAAATACACGAACTCATCGACCACCTCGATTTCGTCACCGTCAATCTGAACTCGGGGTGGAAGGCTAACATTGTCTTCCCTAGAACCTCTTGCTTTCACATATTTTGTCTTTGATGCGTTGATGGCAAGTCCAATCCGTCTAGCTTCAGCCTTCAGTCTGATGTACGTTTCCGCCATCATCTCAAAGTTCCGTGCCATAATGTCAATGTCATCGGCGAAACCAAGGAGCTGGATAGACTTCCTGAATATCGTGCCACTCGTGTCTATCCCAGCTCTTCTGATCACACCTTCTAACGCGATGTTGAACAGCAGACACGAAAGTCCATCACCCTGCCGTAACCCCCTTCGAGATTCAAAGGGACTCGAGAGTGTCCCCGATACTCGAACAACGCACGTCACTCGATCCATCGTCGCCTTGACCAATCGCGTCAGTTTATCCGGAAATCCGTACTCGTGCATAATCTGCCATAGCGGATCTCGATCGATTGTGTCGTATGCGGATTTGAAATCGACGAACAAATGATGTGTGGGCACGTTGTATTCGCGGCATTTCTGCAGAACCTGCCGAATCGCGAAAATTTGGTCCGTGGTAGCGCGGGCACCCATGAATCCCGCCTGGTATTGCCCCACGAACTCTCTTGCATATGGTGACAGACGGCGGCATAGAATTTGGGAGAGTACCTTGTAGGCGGCGCTCAGCAGTGTGATCGCGCGGTAGTTGCAGCAATCCAACTTGTCGCCCTTTTTGTAGATTGGGCATACGACACCTTCCATCCACTCCTCCGGTAATATCTCCTCCTCCCAAATCTTGGCAATTACCCAGTGCAGCGCTCTAGCCAGTGCTTCACCACCGTATTTCAATAGCTCACTTGGTAGTTGATCTACACCAGTTGCTTTGTTGTTCTTCAGCCGACCGATCTCCTCCTCAACTTCTTGAAGATCAGGGGCCGGTAGCCTGTCGTCTTCTGCGCGTGCTCCAAGGTCTGTTGCCGTGCCACCTTCGTTTTCTGCTGCTTCACCGTTGAGGTGCTCGTCATAGTACTGCTTCCACCTCTCAATCACCTCACACTCGTTCGTAAGAAGGTTACCGTCCAAGTCCTTGCACATATCGGCTTGCGGCACGTAGCCTTTGCGCGAACTATTTAGCTTCTCGTAGAACTTCCGTGTGTCGTTTACGCGGTACAGATTTTCCATCGCCTCGCGATCTCGATCTTCCTGCTGACGCTTCTTCCTTCGGAAAACCGAGTTTTGTCTGTTCCGCGCTTGTCTGTATCGCTCCACATTCAATCTCGTGCGGTGTTGCAGCATTCTCGCCCGGGCTGCATTCTTCTCCTCTACTAACAGTTTGCATTCGCCGTCAAACCAGTCATTTCTTCGGTCCGGGATTGCAGTACCTAGTGCCGCTGCAGCAGTACTACCTATGGCTGAACGGATGTCCCTCCAGCCATCTTCAAGAGAAGCTGCGCCAAGCTGCTCTTCCGTGGGTAGTGCAACTTCCAGCTGCTGCGCGTAGTCCTGGGCAACTCCGGTGTCCCGTAGTTGCTCAATGTTGGGTCGTGGCGTTCGACTTCGACGTGTGTTATGCACCGTCGAGAGTTTTGAGCGCATGCATACTGCAACTAGGTAGTGGTCCGAATCTATGTTCGCACTGCGGTACGTGCGGACGTTGATAATGTCGGAGAAGAATTTCCCGTCGATTAGAACGTGATCGATTTGGTTTTCTGTGTGTTGGTCAGGTGATCTCCAGGTGGCTTTGTGGATATCCTTGCGGGGGAAAAAGGTACTTCGAACTACCATACCCCGGGAGGCTGCAAAGTTCACGCATCGTTGGGCGTTGTCGTTCAATACGGCATGCAGGCTGTTTGGCCCGATTGCCGGTCTATACATTGCCTCCCGTCCTACCTGAGCGTTCATGTCGCCGATGACGATTTTGACGTCCCGTTGCGAACAGCCGTCGTACACCTGCTCCAGCTGCGCATAGAACGCTTCTTTCTCGTCGTCGGGTCTCCCTTCGTGTGGGCAGTGAACGTTGATGATGCTGTAGTTGAAGAAACGGCCCTTAATCCTCAACTTGCACATCCTCGCGTTGATCGGCTGCCAACCAATCACGCGTTGGCGCATCTTACCCAGCACTACAAAGCCGGTTCCCAGCTCGTTGGTGGTGCCACAGCTCTGGTAGAAAGTAGCCGCTCGATGCCCGCTTTTCCATACCTTTTGTCCCGTCCAGCAAAGTACCTGCAGTGCTACGACTTCGAAGTTGCGTGGTTGAAGTTCGTCATAGATTAACCTATCGCAAC